AAAAAATGCTATCTTTTGTTTCAATGACTCCCTATTAGTATCTAATTATTTATTGATTAGTTTCCACGCCATTCAACGCATTGCGATATATTTTAATTGAGATATTTTTATATCATTTTTACTACAGAACGACAATTCGCCCGTTTTTAATGAGGACAGGTATCTATAGTATGACCTCTATTTTTGTGCGTTAAGTAGACTTAAAAGTATTATGCGATTCCTATCTATAGATATGTGTTAGAATTGCCAGAGAGTATACCCCCGGGGACTACTTTCCCGGCCTTTTATCGGGTCAGCGATCTGGACGCCGGCGCCAACGGAAAGATTGCCGCCTATTATCTGAACGCCACTCAAGAGGAGTTGCAAATGTTTGCGATAAACAACATAACGGGAGTCATATCATTGATCTCTGCCCTCGACTTTGAAACCAAAGAGAGACACGAATTCGGTATAATAGCGGTGGACGGGGGACAGCCGCCCAATATAGGCACCGCCACCGTTGTGGTCAATGTGGCCAACATTAACGAGTACTCACCAAAGTTTGTAGGCCTTCCCTACGAGTTCTTAGTGCAAGAGAAAGCGTTTGAGGGCACGAGTGTCGGTCAGATTAAGGCTATTGATGAGGACGGGAATGCCATCAAATATGCCATCTCTGACGGCGACACCGATCTGTTCTCCATCGAAGAGGACAGCGGAAGGATTTTCGTTCGCAAACCGCTTATCTCGCGAACTCAGTACACATTCATAGCGCGCGCTACCGATGACGGAGTTCCGCAGAACTTCAGTTTAGGCGTTCAGGTGATCGTAAGGATGCGCGAGAGTAACGATTATCCGCCGGTCTTCACGTCCAGTAACTATCACGGAGTGGTCGTCGAGAAGCGAGAGACCGATAAAGTGGTCGTCAGAGTGGAGGCGGTCGACAAAGACTTGCAAAACAATTCAATCACTTATTCGTTGGTCGGCGGCAACGAAGACTCGATATTTATGATCAACAGTCAGAACGGAGAGATCAAAGTGGTTCAGGGAATGGGACCTAAGATTAACTATGATATTAAGAAACAGTACGCGCTGTTAGTCCAGGCGTCCGACTCGCACATCACAGCCCTCTACGGCTTAACTATGGTTGTGATCGACGTTCAGGACACCAGTGAGTACTTCGGGATTTTTCAATGATAACCCAGAGTCTGACTACTGTTCCCCTTAATAGACGATCACTCGCCGGTGTTTAGCAAATCCGCGTATTCAGCGACTCTCCACGAGAACCTTCCGGCCGGGCATTGCTTTCTGACGGTTGAGGCCAAGTCTAGAGACACTGTCGATAGTGTCAGTTATCTCTTGTCCAACAGTAAAGACCAAAATGTTTTTGCTGTGAATAAAGCGAGTGGAGAGATATGTACGAAGAAAGTGTTGGACAGAGAGGTTAAGGATAAGTACGAGTTCGCAGTCGTGGCCACCGATGGAAAGTTTGAAGTATTGGTTCCCGTCTCAGTCGGTAAGAAGATTTTTGTCTTAACTTTCAAACATCTCTTATAATGAAATGACTTTTGACTAGAAATTATCGATGAGAACGACAATCCGCCCAAATTTGAACAGGACAGGTATCTCATATCGATACCATACGACTCACATCCAGGTCAGTCATAATTGATTAACAAATACCAGTATATTAGAGAGCAGTGACTTAAGAGCCGATTCGCACGTATAGGTCGGACTGTAGTGCAAGTGCAGGCCACCGACCCGGACAGTGCCAACAACGGGGACGTCACCTATTGGATCAAGAACACTCACGGGATGTTTGAGATCGATGCCAAAACCGGGTTAGTCCGACTCGTGGCCAACTTGCCGAAAGACAAGCAAAACGCCACATACGAGATGGAGGTGTTTGCCCAGGACCACGGGGTCACTCCCAATATCGGCAAATCCGTTCTAGTCGTGAGGGCGTCAAACACACAAAACCATCCGCCAAAGTTTGACCGCTTCTCCTACTCTGTCAATGTGGACGAAAACGTAACGGGCATTCCGCTGATCCAAGTGCTGGCGCTGGACCCGGATCCGGGCAAAGCCGGGAAAGTTATTTATAGGATTGTGAAGTCTTCGCATTCAAACGCCTTCCGTATCGACAAAAACACGGGACGAATCACATTGGAGTCGGCGCTCGACTACGAGACCAACAAATACCATGAGATCGTTGTGGAGGCCAGGGATGAGGCCAAGGAGTCTCAGTTTGCTACTACTGTCGTACAGGTTCACGTCAATGATATCGTAAGTGTTTCTTATATTTATTGTCACTTCTTATAGGGATTATTGATTCAGTAAGTAATTAATTTACAAACNTAAATCTCTCCGTCCTTTAAATCAATAGAAAATTAATGAAAATATTTATATTACTGTAATTATGAGCAATAAATACCGGCGTTATGTTGAATATGGATTTTATTTCTGAGTTAACGATTGTATACTTCATTAATGCATTGATTCTGTGTTTTCTAGGCTTGAGTTCAACTCTTCCGACTAAAACTCCCGATTGATTCTCAAGGACAGCGAACCGGTAGTTGGAGTGATCGAAACGGGGATCCCTTTCCTCTGCCTCACTCACGAATACATTTAAACTTGTCTAAGAGTATCATAAAAAATATACAATTCATATACAAAGTTAAAAACACTTTGCAAACTATCTTACAATTGATTTCCAGAGACCATCGAAGGCCTCAACAGTGATGACATACTGTTGATTCTCAGAGATGTCCAGTTGTCGCGAAATGTTGACAATACCGGTCTGGGGGTCGATCGCAAAGGGAACTGACAGTAGAGTAAATTCATTACAACTAAAATCCTATCAAACAATCCATTGATTTCATACCACTTCCAGTATTTCTGGCGAAAGAGTAGACGAGATTAGTGTTGGCGGGAGAGTCGGCATCAGTGGCCTTGAGTTCGGCCACCACTATACCGATGGGCGCGTCCTCTGATATGAACTGGTAATAGGAATCGCGTTCAAACTTCGGCGGCGAGTCGTTGATGTCCTCGATCACCACCGCAACCATAGCTTTGCCGATGCGTTGAGGCGTTCCCTTGTCTTTGGCGGCGACGAACAGCAGGTGAAGCGCCGAGTCTTTCACGTTATACTTCTCGCGATCCAACTCCGAAACGATGGTCAGGAGGGGTCCGCCCTCATCGACGTCGAGCCGGAACTCTCCGTTCGAGTTTCCGTCCACGATATAGACCTCCATTTGTCTGTTGATGCCGTCGTCGTAGTCAACGACCGGTAGTCTCATTCTCGTGCCGATACTTGTGGGCCCTTCCGTCACATTCAACAGGAATGTCTCGTTAAGGAAAGTGGGGGTCCAGTCGTTCTCATCCAGGATTATGATGTGAACGTTAGCCCACCCGGTGTTGTTGGCGCCGTCGACGGCCACCACTCGCAGCACATAAGCCGGCGATCGCTCCCTATCGGGGATTATCTTCACCGACACGACGCCTGTCTTCTCCTCCAAATCAAACACTTCGTCTTCATTGCCTTCAATCACATGATATGTCAACTTTCCGACGTCCACTTCATCCTTATCGGTGGCCACCAAAGTGGTGACCACTTGACCGATGGGTGTGTTCTCCTTCAACTCGACAATGAAGTCGCTTTGACTGAACACAGGGTTGTTGTCATTCACATCCTCGACGAAGATCTTGACTCTCGTATTGGCCGAACACTTCTGATTGCTGGCAGTGATGGCCAGCGTATGGATGCCCTGCAAGAACTTGGCCATAGAGTCGCGATCAATGAGTTTCTTGACGCGCAGCGACACATTCATCGGTATATTATCTCCGTGTCGGACATCGATGTAGAAGTTGTCGTTTGAATTGTCTTCAGTGATCTGATACGACAGTCGCTGTCCGGCGAATTTGTCGACGTCTTCGATGAGTAGATCCGGCAAAACAGTCATATCTGGCGGTGAGTTCTCCTTAATGGACGCATAGTATTCACTGAACGGGAATTTAGGGCAACGAATGTTAATGTCTAAGAGTCTGATGACAACACCGGCCTCCGAGTAGTGCAACGGTTCCCGTCTATTATGGGCCGACACTATGAAGTGATAGACATTTTGCTTAAGGTCTGACGGGTCGAGTCGATTGGTGGTAAATATGCGTCCGGAGTCGTGGTCTATATTGAACTTTTTGGAGTTGAATTGTCCGGCGCTGACGCTGGAGATGTTGTACCAAACGGGCGACCCGTTGGGAACGGTAGCCCGCGGTGTGAGTACAGTGGCGCCGGGCTCTAAGGCGGTGTCGCTTTGCACGAAATATTGCACTGAAGTGAACACAGGTGTGGGCTCTTCGATGGAGTCTTTGTAGACTTCGATCCGCAAGTCTTTGGAACTGAACAGATGGCCACCGCTGGCCTTATCGGCGGCGATCACTCGCAACGTCTCCGTCATTGGTATGAGTTTTTGTGTGGCGAACACCTGTCCGGTCATGGCGTTGATGGCGAAGAAGTGACTCTGAGGCTCGAGCGCATAGACTACTTGATTATTGCCGTTCCGATCGCTGTCTAAGTCTATGGATTGGACAGTATATATGACTTCACTGTTTGGCGACACAGACTGAGGAACTCGAAGAATGCGAGGCATTGACAGTATTTCCGGCGAATTGTCGTTCTGTTGATAATTGTTTGTAAATTAATTACTTACTGAATCAATAATCCCTATAAGAAGTGACAATAAATATAAGAAACACTTACGATATCATTGACGTGAACCTGTACGACAGTAGTAGCAAACTGAGACTCCTTGGCCTCATCCCTGGCCTCCACAACGATCTCATGGTATTTGTTGGTCTCGTAGTCGAGCGCCGACTCCAATGTGATTCGTCCCGTGTTTTTGTCGATACGGAAGGCGTTTGAATGCGAAGACTTCACAATCCTATAAATAACTTTCCCGGCTTTGCCCGGATCCGGGTCCAGCGCCAGCACTTGGATCAGCGGAATGCCCGTTACGTTTTCGTCCACATTGACAGAGTAGGAGAAGCGGTCAAACTTTGGCG